GATTTAAATAACTAAGGCAAAAATTGTGATAGTCAAGGCGTGATACGGATACATAGGAAAGGTGAGTAACCTAGAGCAGAAGAGATACCACAACTTTTTAGCACACATTTGGTCAAAGGATCGGCTTCGCTTGTCTCTCTGACGAGTTGTAGTATGGTGCTAAGTGGCGAACCTCCCTGACGATGCGGGCGAAACGTCTGGGAATTTATCACGTCCACGCTTCGCCTGAGGCGAATCTGTGGGATAAGGAAGTCTAGTTGTTGATGCAGAGTAAAGCATAGTTTAATGGTTTTTGATGCTATCAAAAATAATTGAAATAGGTAGAATTATCATGAGCGAGGAATATATACACACCCTGAACAAATATACATTTAATGTTAAGAAATAATTGTAAACAATTTTAAAACGGAGTTTACGCGGAGGCAGATTCTAGAACGCGTGTAGATGCCTCCTTCAGATTACGCATAAGGTTACCTGCGCTGCCTTTGAGCAGGCCAAGCATGCTCGAGGCAGCGCCAACCATGCTGGGTAATGAACCGGTCTGGTCCGGAATAGAAGTGACCTTCAGAATCGGCTGCTGGTGTTGTAAATGAGATGATTGGAGTTGGTGCTGTTGGGCACGAAAATGATACTGAGTCTGCTGATTAAATGTGCAGGAGGGAGCAGAAGCTGAAGCTGATGATTCTGAAGAATTCGAGGAAGGGTTGCTAGTTTGACGGGTAAGCTCTGTAGAAGGCAGGGAGGTAGGACGTTTAGGAGGTGAAACACTGGAGCTTGAGTTTAATGGGGCGTTTCGGGTCACTCGCTGATGACTGCTTAGTTGACCGTTAGTCTGAGAAATAGATTCATTGTGCCCTAAGGTGTAGAAAAAGGAACGATTCTTAAGCTAATAAGAAATGAATTTGAAGTATTTCTATAAATGAACATATAGCATCCGAGATTTACGAGGATTTAATGATAGCAGTAAAAATATTCGGCGTTATGTGTAGATATTTAGTGTAGTGGTAGCGAATCAGACTATACGTTGTTCTGAAGATGTGAAGACCAAGATGTTGTGGCCTCGGGTATGGTCGCAGTCTCCTTTCGACTTATAGAAG